CGGTGTCGCCTCGGCCTCCTTCACCCCCGCCGCCCAGGCAGTGAGGTGGCAGCGCCGGGCGGCCGCCTAGCCGCAGTTCCCGATGTTGGGATCTTTTAAGGTCATTTGAGAGCACCGAGATTAAGGAGAATTTTTAAAAACCAAAACACAAACCCAACTTCTTGAGTTATCGTTATTATAATTACCCCGATCTTCCCCGAGTCACTTCCCCTCTTCCAAACTCCGGGACCCCAGTTTTCCAGCTTGTTTTCGGGCACCTTTGTAAGGTGTTGGTGTAGTCATGGTATATACTTGGCAATATTTGACTCAGCGTGATCCACCTTTGAGTCATTTTGCCGCGGCCATTTACTACTACCAAAGAGCCCCTGACCACACCTAGAGAGTGTTTATATTTTGCTTAATTCAGTTTTGTCTTTCTGAGAATGGTTCATTTAGTTTCTGTGGATATATGTAAGATTTAGGGAGAGAACAAGATTGCAGTTGAGGAGGTTCAGAAGTACCGTACGAGGAATGAGAAGAGTAGTGAAAATTTGGCAATGTGAAGATGCTTGGCTTAGTTTTAATGGATTAGGAGAGATTTACACCTAGTGTTACTGTATGTTATTGTTCTCTTTCCTGCCTCGTACCCCTAGAACTACCTTTCCCTCTCCATTAACCTCTTCAACTCTGGCTTCCAAATGGCTCCTGGCTCTGTCCTTGTTTCGGGACAGAGGAAACAGGAGCGGATTTCCAGGGCTTGCTTTTCCTGTCTTTTTCCCCACTCATGCCTAGAACACATAATACTCTACTGCTTGTGTGAAAATTCAATCTGTAATTAAAAATGTGTGCACGGTGCACTGCTGACCACGGGCATGTCTGTTTTTTGTATTTGTAATGTGTATGTCCATTTCAGTGTTGTCTGTTTTAGTATGCAGGTGATAGACTAGAGCACAAGACCTCTGTCTCCGTAGCATCTTGGGTATGTGAGCATTTAATAAGTATTTTCATAATGAGTTTTATTTTAAACTTAATGTTTGCTTTTTTTTAATGCCTTAGTGATTATATATTGTTTTAAAGAACCAAGGGATGGGGGGATAGGATAAAGGATGTTTTCAAGAGAAATTTTTTCAAAATAATCTTGTTTGTGAAGTCTAACCTTCTGTCTTTCTTTAACTTTAAACAGAGCAGTCTGAATGCCAGAATGGATAATCGTTTTGCTACAGCATTTGTAATTGCTTGTGTGCTTAGTCTCATTTCTACCATCTACATGGCAGCCTCAATTGGCACAGACTTCTGGTATGAATATAGAAGTCCAGGTCAAGAAAATTCAAGTGATTTGAATAAAAGCATCTGGGAAGAGTTCAATACTGATGAGGCAGATGAAAAGACTTATAATGATGCACTTTTCCGATATAATGGCACAGTGGGATTGTGGAGACGGTGTATCACCATGCCCAAAAACACACACTGGTATACTCCATCAGAAAGGACAGGTATTCCTCTATTTCAAATTCTCTCTTTACTCTTAGGTATCTTTTCCTACCTCTTTTCCCTAACTTCTGGGCATTACCATGGTATTAATTAATATTGATTGGATAAGTAACTTAGGAAAGCCATTTATATCTCTGTACTTATGTATTCTCTTATTAAAATGCTTTTCATTCTTGTATATGTCATAAGGCAATAGTTGAACAGTACATGAGAAGACTTTAAATATTTATTAATTGGTAAAAGAATGGGAATCAAATCAACAAATATGAATTGAATGTCCTTCTTAGAAGTATTTTAGTAAATATCTCATATGCCCTTGTATCTTAGGATTCGTAATTTGGTTTTTTTTTGTTTGTTTGTTTTGGTTTTTTTGAGACAGGGTCTCACTATGTAGTTGAGACTGACCTGGAACTCACTATGTAGTCCAGGCTGGTCTCAAACTCATAGCGATCCTCCTGCCTTAGCCTCCTGAGTGCTGGGATTACAGGCGTGAGCCACCACGCCCGGCCTAGGGTTTGCAATTTGAATGACTGCGTTTAAATCTATGTGCGAGATGTGCTTGAAAAATATGAATGTTTAAATTTTTAAAAAATTTGTTATAATAAAAGACGTTGTCATTAAAATATTCCCCTTTTTTGAACACACGTATTCCATTGTTCTTGCCACTTTCTGAAGGAAGTCCTGTTCCATAAGTATCTTTAGTTACATTGTTCTGACTACCTAAAAGTCTTGAATCTATTCAAAACATTTACCCTTCATGGTCATTTCTACTTTAGAAAAGAACCAGAAGACTCAAGGTATCAGATCTAGTGAGTAAGGCGGACGAGAACATATAGTAACGTCTTTGTAAGCCTGCCTTTCTGTTGGATGGCACATGGAAGCAGCATTTACTGTGCTTTTCATCACACTTCTTAAACACGCTCAGGATGGAAGACTTCCAGAACTGTTTCAGAAAGTGGCAAAAACAGTGGGATAAATGGTGGGGGAGAATTTTGAGGGGGATTAATAGCAATATATATTTTATTGTAATTTTTATTTAAATATTTGCCATATGTTGGGATCACCTCTTGTGATCTGAAACAGTTTTGCAACAATTTTGATGTGGAGTTTGTAGGTTAAAAATTTGTATTACAGAAGAAAAATCATTTAAGGAGTTATTAAATAGTTATTAAATTGGTAGCCTTGGTGCCCATTGTAAGGAAGAAATTCAGTTTAATTAAATTATTATTATTATTATTATTATTATTATTATTATTATTATTATATATTTTTTGGTACTGGGGCTCCAATTTGGGTTTGCTTGCGAGGCAGGCGGCAGAACCACTGAACTAAATCCCCAGCCCAAGTTTACTTTTATTTATGTTTATTTCTGTTGGTTTCTTGGTAAAGAATCATTTTGTTCAAATACTAGCAGAATAAGCTTGAGTTACCATTACATCAAAAGAATGGTAGTATGTCATATATGAAAAAAGGAAGTAGTAGCAAAGAAAGGAAAGTTTGTCAAAATTTCTTGTAAAACATTAAGTTCTAATGAGGAAACAGGAGTGCTTGATACTAGCATTTTACCAGTTTAATAATTCATTCAACAAATAATTTCATGCCTCATAATTTAGACAAAAAAATTTATTCTTGAGATAGCATTCTAATAAGGGATGACAGGCAATAAATATAAGTACAACAATATAAACACACAAGTACATAGTATGTTAAAAGATGACATGCTATTGAAAGGTAGAGCATAAATAAAGGGGATTTGCAGTTACAAGGGGAAGGGAATATTGGTGGGAATATAGGTTGGGATTTTGAATATCATAGTCAGGATAGGACTCATTGAGAAAACACTACTTGAGTATAGATTTGATGTGGGTAGACTGTGGAGGAGTTGGCCATATGGGCAGTCAGAGGATCATGTAGGTTAAAGAAAATAGCTACTGCTAAGGCCCTTTAGCAGGAGCATACCTGAAATATTCAAGGATCAGTAAGGTAGCTTACTAGGTTGGAACATCAGAGAGAAGAGAGTCGGTACAGTATGTTGTTAGATGTGCAGGACTTTAGGAATCACGAGGACTCTGCTTTTTATTGTGACTACAGTGGAGAGCCATCGAGGAGTGTTGAGCAGTGGAGAGACATTATGTGGTTACCCTGGATGTGATAACAAATAAACATTAGGCAAGGGTAGTGATTCAGCTGAGAAGTGATTATACAGTAAATCAGATCAGTGTTTTAGCACCAAGCAGCAGCAGCTGGATCCTGATTTTTTTTCCTCATTGAGTTTATTGGTACATTTTAGGTATACAGTACAGTTACATTCATCATTGGTATCTTGTACCTCTACATGACAGTTCTTGGTTCTCATTTTCTCCCCATACCCCTTCCCTCCCTTCACCCCCTCCTGATTTTTTTTTTTTTTTTTTTTTTTTTTTTTTTGGTACTGGGGATTGAACTCAGGACCTGTGCCTGCAAGGCAGGTGGCAGCACCGCTGAGCTAAAGCCCTGGCCCCAGATCCTGATTATTTTGATGGAAGAACCTTAGGATTTCTTGGTGGAATGTATGTGGGCAGGAGTTGCTCTAAAGTTCCTGGTCTGAGGAATTGGAAGGATGGAACTGCCCTCTGAAATGGGAACCATAGCTGGAAAAACAGGTTTAGGGGAAAAGGTCAAAGTTTTTATTTCAATCTTCATCCCCTCCTCCTCCTCCCCAGTCTTCTTACATATCTATTCTGCCACCTATTTTGTTGCTCCTACTTTTTTTTTTCCCCTTCCTGGTGCCTGTATCTTCAGTCCTCCCCTGAGAACCAGTGGCATGCATCAGACATGAGAGAGACCTGTGTGTCAGTTAAGGCCAGTGAGATTGCTTATTCTTTGAACATCTCCATTTTTTTTTGTTGCGGGGGAGTATAATTACTGAAAGAGTATTGTGAAATGTTTATGAGAACAATAAGCAATCATTGTTCTTGTTCCAGAGTCATTTGATGTTGTCACAAAATGCATGAGTTTCACACTAAATGAGCAGTTCATGGAGAAATTTGTTGATCCTGGAAACCACAATAGTGGAATTGATCTACTTCGGACCTGTGAGTACTTTGATCTCAGTTGGACAATTGGAGCGAAAAGGAAATAATTTTATTTGTGGTTACTCGTATTCTAATTTTGTAACATGATGTATTAGTAGATAGTGTTAATTTATTCTGTTTAGGTATTCCAATGAAGTCTATTAGTATTGATACTATATTTTAGAAGGTAGAAATGCACTTACCAGCTTTTAGATAGTTTTAAATTGAGGGAGGCATTTAATACATTTACTGATGGAATCCAGACCTCCAAAAGATGTTATTGATGGGCCGGCCCAATTAAGAGGGAATTTAATAAGGTTAAATAATAAATTCCTGTACTTAAGTTAAACACTTCCATTGGTGAGGTTCAGATAGGTGTATGTGAAGAAAATTGCAAGCTCTGAGTGGGTTACTGAGTATCAGGACCAATCATCCAAACTTAGATGATAGTCAGTCTCAAAAATGAAATGATAATGTCAAAAAAGTTTTTTAATTACAGTTTTCTCCTTGATGGTCAGTCAGGCTACCACTGTTATCAGATTTAATCCTCAGTTTTTAGGGCCATAGAGACTTACTGGAGCTTTCCTGGAAGAATAACCATATATATTTTTTAAATTGAATAACTACAGGTATTTAATTTTGCAATGAATATGATAGGAAAAAGTTATTATTAGAGTTTGAAGGGTACTGAGGAAAAAACAAAACAAAATAAAAAACCTTTCATGAAGTACGAGAAAGTAGTACCATCACCAAAAGGTAGAATTTGATTAAATTTGATACTAATTGATTACTAATAATTAAAATTATCTGAAAATGCAGTGAAATGCTTTGTGAGGCCATCAACTTTCCTCCTGTGTTGATAAGAGAATTTTTGATAATTAGAACTTCTGTTAAGCACTGGGTATATTTCAGATTTACTGCATTGTGCTGTATGCATTTTTTTTCAAGAGCAAGAAAGGTCATTTATAATCACCAATTCTTGTTTTTACTCCCTTTAAATTCTGAAAGGTCTAAGATAATGTTTATATGTTGTGGTAAACTGTTTTCTCAGGTCCTCACTCATCCACTTATTTTCTTTGTATATATTATTTCTAGTTTCAGTTTCTTTAATTATAAAAGAAAATAGTACTCAATAGTAAAAGTTGTTGGTAGGATTAATTTGCAAAGCATGTATGTGTAAGACAAGCAGTATACTGCACAATGCAAGGCTTTGGTAATTGTTTCCTGTTAGGGGATTTTTGCTTTTCTTCAGGGCAGAGCATCGTTTTTGAGTAGTCTAATTTAGAAAAGAACCCTTGATTTCTTATTTTTTGAGAGAAGATTTAATTACAGTACGAAAAAAATTCCCAGTGTAGAAAATGGTCTGAAATCATGGTAACATGTCTGTTCTTTCTTTTTCTTTTAAAAACAGATCTTTGGCGTTGCCAGTTCCTTTTACCTTTTGTTAGTCTGGGTTTGATGTGCTTTGGGGCTTTAATTGGACTTTGTGCTTGTATCTGCCGAAGTTTATATCCCACCATTGCCACTGGCATTCTCCATCTCCTTGCTGGTGAGTCTTGTATCATATTTAACTTTTAACTTTTGCCTGTCTCTTTAGGGACCACAGAGTTAAATTTGATAGATTCACATATTACTGTGATGTTATGTTGCCTGAAAAGCTCTCTACTATGCTTTTATTTTTAATTTTTTAATTTAATTTTTTGGTACTGGGGATCAAACTCAGGTCCTTGCTCTTGCAAGGCAGGTGGTGGAACCACTGAGCTAAATCCCTGCTCCTCTACTGTGCTTTTATTGAGCCATGTTTTGTTTTCTAAATTTTCTCTCAAGGTCTGTGTACACTGGGCTCAGTAAGTTGTTATGTTGCTGGAATTGAACTACTCCACCAGAAACTAGAACTGCCTGAGAATGTATACGGTGAATTTGGATGGTCCTTCTGCCTGGCTTGTGTCTCAGCTCCCTTACAGTTCATGGCTTCAGCTCTCTTTATCTGGGCTGCTCACACCAATCGGAAAGAGTACACCTTAATGAAAGCATATCGTGTGGCATGAATGGGAAACTGCCTGTTTTACCATTGCTATTTTTAATATTTTTTAATATTCATAATTCCCCTTGGCTCACAATTGTTTTTAATTTAATTTTTTTGTGAACATATCATTTATCCTGAAAAATCCATTTTATTTATGTACCCTACTAAATGCACACTTTTAAACACCAGAATTTATGTGGTTTACTCTGAGTAATTTCATCTTTCAAACAAACCAGTCAGCATCAACGTCTAGACAAAAAGAAGTGGGTAGAGAGTTGATACAAATTTGTGAAAGAAAATTGAAAGTGCAAAATTGACCCAGAACAGATTTTGCTGATGTTTGTTTTAGACTTTCTGGTATAAGTAAACTATCTCCATCTGTTGAACTAGAAACTTTGATCTTTTTGGGTAACTTCTTATGAATGTCAAAACATACTTTTCTTCTGTAGTTAGTCAGCCAGTGGTATTAGTGCTGCTTTCAAAGATTTAAAGCTCCATAAAATTGGGAAATTATGATTTTTCCCTAAACTTTGGCACATACCTTCATCTAAGGTGAAGTATGGCAGCTGTTTATATCTAGAGTGTATGTCTCTCTACAAGAAAAGTTAAAAAAAATTGTAATGTTTACTTGGAATTTTAATTTTGTAATTACAAAAGTTCCAGTTCAGCCAGATAAGTGAGTTAATCTTAATTTATTTTACTGTTTTTTTTTTTTTTTTTTTTTTGGTACTGGGGATTGAACTCGGGTTCTTGCGCTTGCAAGGCAGGCCACCGAACCACTGAGCTAAATCCCTGGCCCCTTATTTTACTAGTTTTTATAATCTCATTAGGACTTTCAGTCCCACCAAACCATTTTGAATTTTTGCTCCCTATGTACCAGGTTTATTAAAAGTGCTTTCTTTTTAACATTAGGATTACAAAGTAAAATTCCCCAACAGTTTTTTGTTTATTGGAATTAAGTATCTACTGTAATGACCCTCCAGAGCTGGGAATACTACCACAAGATCTAAAGCTGTGGCTGTCCATTAACCTCCAACTATAGTCTTTATTTCTTGTGGTGAAATGATGTGCCTTTCCTTGCCTAAATCCCTTCCCTGGTTTATCAGCATTATATAGTGTCTTCTAATTCAGTCATTTTTTATAAATGTCTATAAACATTGAAGTTTTAAAAATCTTATTTATTTATTCCATACTGTAGCATTTGACAGATTAAAAAAATGTAACAGTAATTTCTTACCATATCCTAAATCTGTCTTTTTTACAAAATAAAAATGAGAAGAAACTCAAAAATTTGTGTATAGTGTCTGAATTGATTTAAATCTCAGTGAATTAAAATAATGGGAGATCTTTGTGGTTCTTCATGGAAAATGCATTAGTACTCTGCAAGCCTATCTTTATGTCTTGTGTTTGTTTGGATTTGTTTTATCTTCCAGAAAATGTGGCAACTGTTTACCCCATTAGAAAATGAGAGAGGTTTTTTTTGTTGTTGTTGTCTTTTTAATGTATCAGAATTTTTTTCTTTTTGTTGAGTTTATTGGTACAATCTAGGTACACAATACAGTTACATTCATTACTGGGATCCTGTACCTTTACATGATAGGTCTTGGTTCTCATTTTTCCCCTTGTCCCTGCCCTCCCTTCATCCCCTTAGATACATATTGAGGATAGACTCTTAAGTGAAATAAATAAGTCATACGTGTATAAATACTGAATAGTTTCTCTGGTGTGAAAAACTATAATAGTACACAAGATCCTAATGAGAAAATAATGTTTCAGAATATTAAAACTAGTTTTCAAAGTAGTTTTTTGATTTCTATACTTAACATGGCTAGTTTCCTATAAAAACTCATTTAATGGTCATGGATGTTTGTGTTTTATAGTAAAGAAATAAGTCAGCTTCTGACTTGTAACAGTCAGCATTACTTTGTACCCAGGTGCCTGTAAAATGATTGATTACTTAGATGTCTAACCCCCCTGCTTTTTAAAACAATACTGGGGATTGAACATACAAGTGCCAAAATACATCCACAGCCCTTTTTACAGAAATTTATTTTGAGATAGGGCCCTGCTAAGTTGTTTAATATGACCTCAAATTTATGAACACCTCCCTCAGCCTCTTCCAGTAGCTGGAATTAAAGGTGTGCGTGAACCCTTGGGTCTGGTAGATATCTACCTATTTCTACCTATTAACTCTTGAAGTTTCATTGATTTAGAGCACCTTCTGTGGCAGGTAAGTAGGAGAAAAGCTAAGTGAACAAACAACATTTAACAATGGGATTTAAGAATTGTTGGCAGTCTGACATGTTTGTATTAGGAAGTTATTTTAAATACCTGTTCCCTGCCTTTTACCCCCAGAGTTACCTACATAAGTGCCTGTAAAGTAGACTAAACTGGAAGGCAGAATTGAATTTTTGGATTATATAGCCTTAACCAGTAATACCTTTAAATTTGGAAAGCTAGCACTATAATTCCTACTGATGAATATGTGTTGTAATTAGTGTTTTTAGCCCAATGCAGTGTTTGAGGTCACCTCTCTTGCAGAGACTTGTCTGAAATAATACATAGGGCTGTATTGTTCAGTGTAAAAACAGTTTTTCTAAGGCTAAACCATATAAAATCACTCAATTATTTTGATTGATCACACCTAAAGTCAGTGGAAAGGTAAATCATCTTAATCTCCATTTAATCTTTGAAAGCAACCCCCAAAGTAAAACAGTTCCAGATACTCTTTTAGCATATGTTATGACAGCTGAAAGAATATGTTTTAAGACCTTAATTTATGGTTTCTAATGAAACGATATGGATAATATGGATAAAATGAGTCTTTTTTTTTCTTTTTTTTTGCAATAGGCTTATTTAAAAGTTGGTATAAAAAAGGCAGAATAATTCTATAATTTATTTGGATAACACCAAGTGTGCTTACTGTCTGTATCATAATGTATTAGAGTAATGTGTTAAAAAATAACACCTAGGAGGGAGGGAGAATAGTTAATAACTCAGATGAATTCATTTAGTGAATAAGAAGAGATGATAATTCAGCAAACCTGTTTTGAATTTTTTCATTCCGGAAAGATAACAAAATTACAGACTTAGCAATATTAAAACTTGTAGATCCATTCATATTCGGTTGATGGTAAGATATATAATAGGAGGGCATTTTAATGTTTAAATCTCATGTAAGCTATCATCTAAAATAAAAACTTGTTGAATTAGCCCAATTTAGCCAATTCAGCGCTTACTGACGTTTTCAACTAATGGATTAGTTCACAGGCTAGATGTGACTCTCCTGGCACACGTGGGTGGAATCCTGTCTTCCTTTTCCCGCTCTTTTCACAGAATAACAACTTATACTTTGAAAACCAGAATAAAACAAGGGATCACATCTACTTATATGAATTATTTTTGTTCATCAGATGTTTTGACAATGAAATGTGTTTTTTCTTAGGATCACATTATAGGTAAATGCTGGTGTCCTCTTGCAAAAGTTTGTGAAAATCGTAACTTGTAAACCGAATCAAAATGATTATTTGTTCTATAATAGTTACTGTTATTGGCAAAATTAATACATTACTTGACATACAAATATGCATACATTTTCAGTAAACTTAGCACAATTCAATTTGTATTATTTCTTCTGCCTTTGCAGAGCTTTAGAAATGTACAATAAGGAGAGAGAATCTTACTTCTTTTTTTGTCTTCATATATTTAAAATATCTGTGTTACTGAGTCATGCATCCTTCACCTTTTCTCTACTGACTTGGGTTGTATCTCAGGGTGTGAACTTTATTTACCTGTCCTGCAACTTTTCAGTCCCTCTCAGGCTACCAGGCTTCTGTTCTCATTTTTCTTTACTTACGTTTATCTTACTATCATATATACACAAACATCTTTGATTATCTTGCTTCTGTATCTCCCATAGTGCTTCCCCTCAAAATCCTTAGCCTTATTTTCATAGACATGCTGTCTGGTTTTCTATTCCCAATCTGGAAATACCAAAGATGCCCTTTCAAAAAAAAGCTGGTTCTATAAAAAAATTATGCTATCTGCTCTCAACTGCTTCACAAGTCTAATCTCGTGATTTATTACTCTACACATTTTATAAATCTGTATAAGTTCTGAGTTCTGAGAAAGTTCTGAGAAAGTTGCTTTTTCTCCTCAACTTCCATGGAAGGAATTTTCACTCTCCTTAAGAATGGATTATTGCAATGAACTCTTGTATTGTCTACAACCCTTATTTAGTCCTCTCTAGAAAAGCAGGATAAATTATCTGATTGGAGTGATTGCTGGTATCACCAACTACTAGAGCAATATGATGTATGGTAGTTAGAAGACAATGCTAAATTGTAATCCTAGATCTGTTTCAGCCTTGCCAAGCTCCTTTTTTCACCTGTAAAATGTTATGATTAGCATACCTGCCTCATGGAGCTGTGATAAAGATTAAATTACTTAGCATAAATAGCCAATCAAAAATGCTAGTTTCTACCAGTTGGATCACAAGGGATTACCAAGCATGTAAAATGGTTCTGAGCCTAGACTGCATTTTGGAATTTCCTGGACAACTTTAAAAAGAGAATCTGATTTAATTGGCCTTCAATTTATAAGGCCGGGAGTGTAGTTGGGTTGTAATTTTTTAAACTTTTATAAGTGATTAAGTGATTCGAGTGGGCAAACATGTTTGAAAGGTACTGTTTTGTTTGTTGTGATTCTTGGGAGTGAGCCCAGCGGTTTCACACTACGTCAACCGTACTTTTTTATTTTGAGACAGGGTCTTTCAAATTACCCAGGCTGGACTCAAATCTGGGATCCTCTTGTCTCAGCCTCCCAGGGTGCTGGAATTACAAGTACGCACCACCATTTGAAAGCTGCTTTTAAAATCAAGAAGCCGGGCATGATGGCACGCACCCGAAATCCCAGTACTCAGGAGGCTGAGGCAGGAGGATTGCTGTGATTCGAGACTGACCTGGGCTATATAGTGAGTTCCAGGTCAGTCTCGATTGCATAGTGAGACCCTGTCTCAAAACAAACAAACAAAAAACAAAACAAAACCAAAAACACCCTAAAA